ATGCTAGGGATATTATTGAAGCAACTGATCAAATGATTAAGCTTGGCCAATTGCATTCCTTGAGACTACAAAATCTACCGAAGTTCATTAGCTTCAGCCAAGAAAATGATACAAGCTTGAGTCATGTTCCACTTTTCACTGAGAAGGTATTTAATTTATTCTTTCCTTTTTTTTCCCCTTCAATAAAAGACATGCTATACTTTGATTCCGGATAAGAGTAGGGAAGCATATTGAAACTTGTTTAAATGCTAATTGACACCAACCATAAAATTACTAGTTTTCTCTCGAGTCATACCAGATCCAAATTTAAAATTTTAACTTCATTGTAAAACTAATTAAGAAGTAAATGCTGCTGATTAAAAAAAATTAAGTAAAATGCTAATAATATGATATTAAGGAGACTAAGAGGCCATTAATCAACACAGTTGTCTGAAACTAAGAGGCCATAATCAATTGTTGCGTTTCTTGTCATTGACACCAACAAGATTTACTCATGTTGTGCAGTTTGTGTTTCCATGCTTGAAGAAGTTGCAACTATCATGGATTAAAATTACAACCATATGGCATACTTCAGCTACATCTTACTGCACTCAAAACCTTACAGAACTTATTATTGAGGGTTGTGATAATTTAGAACACTTATTCTTATCCTCTATGGCTAGAGGTCTGGTGAAGCTTAGACACCTCAAAATAAATCAATGCAAGAATATGAGAGAGATTATTGTGATGGAGAATGTGGAAGGAAAGGAGATTTCTTTCCCCGAGTTGGACTTCTTGCACATAGAAAACCTTCAAAACCTTGTTGGAATCTACTCAGGAAATTGCATCATGGCATTCCCATCCTTGAAGGAATTGACCATAAAAAACTCTCCAAAATTGGAGGAGTTCACGGTTAAATCTAAGAGTACGGAAATAGCCACTGACATAAAGCCTCTCTTCAATGAACAGGTAAGTTCTCTTCATTTCAATGCATTCTGCCTTCTAACTTTAAAATTAATTATTGCCCTTATCGTTTTCCTTTAATGATGAATTTTGTAGTTTGCATTTCATTCCCAGCTTGGAGGCCTGTCTATCTCCTACTTGAAAAACTTCCAGATCTTATGCCATACCAAACTCTCTATTCGTTCCTTTTTTGGCAAACTAAGATAATTGAGAAACGGTTTTGTGAGAAGCTATTGACTTTTTTCCTATTTACTATTTTTTGATTTGATACAATATTTTGACAATATTACAAAAGAACAGACAGAGTTGAGTACTGTCACTCCATAGATCTATGCACATATTATATTCATATTGCTGGTTTATTATTAATTCTCACGTTCTTGGTCAATTGATAAAACTGAGTTGTCATTGCAGCTGATAGAAAATTAACTTTGTTTACTTTTGATTAGAGAAAAAAAAAATAGTTTTTGATTAAATAGAATCTCTTTTCAGATTAAGTTTACAAGGTTGGAGTTCTTAAGTATGTCCCTTAACATTCAACAAATTTGGCACAACGGGGTTCCAGAAATGCCTTCTTTTGTTAAAAAACTAAAAGATTTGACAGTGGATGGCTGTGATAATTTGAGATATCTATTGACATGCTCTACAGTTAAAAGTTTTGAGCATCTTGAATTACTGACAATTCGAAACTGCAAGATGATGGAAGGGGTAATAGTGGCAGAAGGATTAGCAGAAGAAGAAAGGAGGAGCAAGATGTTGTTCCCTAATTTGCAAGCCCTGGTACTTGAAGGCCTTTCCAAACTCACAAGATTCTCTCCTGAAAATTGCATTGAATTCCCCAACCTTACACGACTTAAAATAGGCAAATGCCCTGTGTTGAAGACATTCACCTCTAGTCCTGTTATTGGAGACATTGCTGTCAGTAGTGAGAAAGCAGAAAACACCTATGCGCCACCTTTCTTCAATGAAAAGGTGATTCTTACCATCGTTTTTCCTTTGATTTATGGTTATTCGTGTCTTATAATACAGGCTTTCCATTTTAATTCTAAAGTTGAGTTTCTATCATCTCTATTAGGTCTGTCCTATCTCTTTTAGACTGTTTAGCTATTAATGCAATCTGATAAAATCTGTAGGTAGCATTCCCTCAAATAGAGGACCTAAGGATCTATTTGATGGAGAGTTTGAACAAGATATGGGCTGATCAACTTGATGGAGATTCCTTTTGCAAACTAAAAACCATTTTTCTAGGTGGCTGTGGAATGCTGGTGAGCATTCTCCCATTTAGTATGCTGGAAAGACTTCAGAGACTAGACACACTGTTTATTGTCGTGTGTGATTCACTAGAAGAAATAGTTGAAGCACCCAGTGCTAGCAATTCACAAGCTCTGGTAGACACTCAGCCAACGTTGGTGGAAACTGACAGCAAGGTCGTATTTTCGGAATTGACAGAACTGAGGCTTGACAGGCTACCCAAGCTCAAGTGTTTCTGCTATCGAATGCATATTAAGTGCCCATCTCTGAAATTACTGCAAGTTTCTGAATGCGAGCAAGTGCAGGTATTTGCTTCGGAATTTCCAAGCTTCCAAAGAATCAATGGAGATGATCAACTTGAAATTCAAATTCACTGCCCTCTTTTCTCGGTCAGCAAGGTACTGTTTGTAAAAACACTGCATGTTGGGATGCATTATTAGATTTCAAGTTCCAGTAAAGCTTTCTCTTGAAGTCTACCTTTTTCGGTCATTAGACGTTGCATTGGTTTTAAAATGCATTAATAGATTAAAAAAATACTGGAGTATTATTTATTAACTTGAATAAAGTAATCAATCGAAAGACTTAAAATTTCATGTTTTTTCCTTTTTTGTCTTTTGTTATGCTTCCTTTGCAATAATTCAAGTTCTGTTTGATATGATTTTGATTTTTAATTTCATTTTTTATAAATTTTGTAATTTTTAAAATCAAAATTAAAATTAAAAAATTAACCATTAACAATTTCTTTCGAGCAAGTTTTAAACCAGATAACAGAAAAATGAACTCATTTAATTAATAGCATTAAAAATTATTTTTATTCTTATTTTTCTAATATTTATGATAATAAGTTACAAAAATATATGAAAGTAAATGAGTGTTTTGTTTAGAATTGCAAAATTTATCAAAACTACAACTTTATTGACTGACCCTTGTCACATATTTTTTTATTTATTTTGCACTTAAAAAAATTATCAAATTTTATAAAAACACAATTATTATATGTTAAATTTTCATATGTACGCTTAGAGGGACTCAATTAATAAAAGAGGCTGGGAGTAATTATCAAGTTTTATTAAAGGACCTAACTATAAAAATTAAAAATCTATTTACATACAAGTTTTACGTACTACATTTGTATAAAATTTTAATTATTTATCACTTTATTTTTAATAGTTAAGATTTATTTGCTTTTATAATATTTATTGAGGATAATTTTTTAATTTAAAAATTTATGATAAAACTTAATCATTAAAAATAAAGAAATGAATTATTAAAATTTTATACAAATGTGATACATAAAATTTGTATGTAAATGAATTCTTACTCATTAATAGAAATTGAGATAAAGTTGGAGCAGAGTTTTTTAATGCTTTGTTAAAATAGCAATCGACAATTATATTGGGGATTTTGCTACCTTAGTAAGTGTGACAATTATGATGGAACAAAAAAGAGGAGTTAATGTGTTTTCGTTTTATAATTCATAAATTTATTAAGAATTTTTTTAACATGTGCTTTAAATAAGTTAGTAATGTAATTATATCTAAATTTTAAGATCAAAATAAATTTGTCATTATTGTTTTAAAAATATGTTATTTTAATCTTTTAATAAAATGGAGTAGTTATGAAGTGTTTTCATCTTAATTTTTAAAGACAGTGACAAACTCTTTCAGTTAATATCTACTATATATCTAAATTTGTTTCATCCATGTCTTTAAATTAAAATTTTCGAGTCTTTCTGATGACAGAAAATGAAAACTATAGTAGACATTCCAATAAGCTTTGGTTTTTATTATTATTTATATATTTTTAATATATTATTTTTTCAAATTTTCAGGCTACATTCCCCAATCTAGAGGAACTAAAATTG